GGTTCAAAGCCACAGCAATGGTCCCCCCAGTAGATGATAATCTTTTCTTTGACGAGAAAGATATGACTCTCCTGTTGAGTGCTGTAGTTTCTGCAGTAGCAACAGCCTTGGGGAGGACCAGTGAGGAGGCGGAGAAAGCAGTGCAGGTCGCCATGACAGCTATGACCCAAACTGTGGCAGCTCTGAAGGGAAGGAAGCTAGAAGCCTCCAAACCGATAACGAGCAGCGCTCCCCTCCCCAAATCCTCGGATGACAGGCTAGCTTCAAAAGAAACATCACATAAAACCCCAGCTAGTCTGTCAGGACAGGCTGAAACTGTGCAGCAGGCCGAGTCGTACAAGCCAAAAGTCTCGTCCTCCGAACCAAGGTGACACTTCCAACCTAGGCCCTACATCCCCTGGTAAGGCCTTAACCGGAGTGTCTGACTTAGAGGAAGTTGTACACTCCTCAATCAATGAGGATCTGTATTTATCTGATGCCACCAGCACTGGGGCATCAGAAGATGAAGCAAGTGACACTGAGTAACCATCATGGCACACAATCTAAGCATACTGCAGTGGAATATCTGTAGCTATAAAAGCAAGAACTCTTTCTCCAGTCCATTGTGCGAGCAAGGAGCATTGACGTCGTCATGCTCCAGGAGACACTAACAATGGGATCCGTGTGCTTCTCAGGATATCATGCCTTCACCACTCCAAACCTGGATGGTGCTAGAGGCCTGATGACCCTGGTAAAAGAAGCTATCCCTTGCTCCTTAATAGCCAATCCGCCGCACTGTGGAGATGGTGTTGAATCTCTTGCTGTTGAGATTCAGCTACCTGGGGGCTCTATAAAAATATACAATATTTATAGCAAACCACTGTGTGAGAGCTTAGATCTAAACCAGGTCTGTGCTACTGCAGCACAAGACCGAGTGATCATAGGGGGAGACTTCAATGCACACATGGCCATGCTGAATCCCGCAAAAGCCGAACGCGGCAGGCATTCACATAGCAGAAGTGCTTGAGACATTCCCTGAGATCGCTCTTCTCAACACCAAAGAACCAACGCATGTGAAGGGAGGGGTCCTAGACCTCACCTTTGCCACTGCAACAATGGTGGAGAGAATTCGATGTGTGTGATGATACAGTTACTAGTGATCACTACGGCATAGTCACCACACTAATGGATGCAGGTCCAGCCCAAAGACCACATCACATTCCTAAATGGAAAACTGACAAGGCCAACTGGTTTGCCTTCCAGGAAGGCTTGGCTCGATGTCTGAAAGACAATGACCCAATAACGATAATGAAATGTGGATGTGCTAGAGGCAAGGCTAATCCAGGCCCATAAACCAGGCAGCCTCACAAACCATTCCCAAAATCGTCCATGGTCCAGAACTCACAAAGACGCCTGGTACTATAATGACGAGATCAAAGAGGTCAACCACAGGGTTAATATGTGTAGAAAAAAACTTCCGACGGCAAAGATCTCCCGACAATCTGGCCCTGCTGAGGGAAACTGTTGTGGATGCCAAGGAAACTGCCAACAGAGTAAGGCAGGAAAAATGGCTGGAATGGTGCCAGTCTTTTGGGTACCAGACCAGCCTTACAGAGCTGTGGAAACGGGTCAGGCAAGCGACAAGCCGCCAAGCCCCGAAATGCACTCATCATGACCCACAATCAGAGGCTAACAGATTGGTGCTTGAGTTCTCTGCCAGAACCAGCACCAACAATCTGCCTCCAATGATGAGAGAAAAACAACAAAACTTAGATCCAGAAAGACTTGCTCTCATAAGAGACAAGGCACTCGAAGCTGATGAAGCAGATGCCTTGTTCTCTCTTAGGGAACTAAGAAAATCATACAAATCCAGTTCTGGGTTCAGCACGGGATCTGATGGGATCTCTCACCCCATCATTTCGCATCTAGGCCTTGCAGGAGAACTTGCATTCTTGCAGGTTATCAACAAAATCCTGGCAAACAGCCACAGTGCCCCAGAGCTGGAAACAAGCCACAATAGTTCCCATCCCAAAGCCAAAGGAGCCTGGCAAGTACCGCCCCATCTCTCTTCTCAGCTGCCTGGGCAAAAACAGCTGAGAAGATGGTACTCAACAGGCTCCGATGGAAAACGGGTCCCCCCCATGAACACCTGCACGGGTTCACAAGGGGTAAGAGCACTGCTCATAGCATTTCCACACTCTTAAGCACAATCTGCACCTCGCCCGCCGTGGTTGTCTTCCTTGACCTGGAGAAGGCTTTTGAATTGGCAAGTCCACTTGCCATTCAAGAGACCCTAATCCACAAAGGAGTCAAAGGCAGACTCTTGGCCTGGATAGCTGACTATTTTAAAAATAGATCAGCAAATGTCAGATTTCAAGGCCACCTCTCACAGCACATGCCACTTGAAAATGGAACTCCTCAGGAGGGTTCTTAGTCCAGCCCTGTTTAATACCCTCATGTCCAACATACTCGACATTCACCTGCCAGAGGGATGCAAGATCATCTCTTATGCAGATGACTTGGCAATCATAGCCTCTGGCAACCACTGCCTAACTAGGCTCAGCGTTGTCTGAACCTGGTGTCTGAAGAGTGTTGTAGGACGGGTCTAAAAATATCAGCAGCAAAATCCAAAGCAATGGCACTGAGAAACCAATGTCAGAAACAAAAAACTCACCATACAGGGTATGGATCTGGAATGGGTGAAGGACTATCTATACCTTGGTGTATGGATAGGACACACACTCACTTTCAAAAAGGAGATCCAATACCTGCTTGACAGAACCAAGGAAAGACTGTCAGTCATGAAAGTCATGACAGGGAGACACATAGGAGCAGGACACAAAGTACTAAGATCATTCTATGTACATGCTGTCCGTCCTATTATTGACTATGCATCTGTCGCCCTCATTGCTTCCAGCACAACATTAAAAGAAAAACTGGAAATAATACAAAACGAAGCGGCCAGGATCATTCTAGGTGCACCTAAGTGGACAAAGGTCATCAACCTCCTCATGGAAACTGATTTACCGTCCGTGGACACTAGAATTGATCTAATGGCAGCACAGTTCCTTTCCAAGGTCCTGCAGGCACCCACAAACTCCTATTTAAGACAAAGAGTTCTCAGACGCCACAACAAGATTATCAGTTGTTTGCAGACAATTCCTGGCTCACACATACAGCCAGAGTTTTGATACGCTTTCAACTTAAAAGATTTATTGCTTGCCAAGGGTATGGACTCCCCCCACCCCTGACTACAAAGAACCCCCGCCGTGGGCAAACGAAATTATCGAATTCTCAATTTTAAATCTCACAATGAGAAAAGATCAATATTCCATGCCTAGCCTAAAGGCACAAGCACAAAGGGTCATTGAACAAATAACTCCGCCGGGTAGTATAACTTACTACACGGACGGATCCGTGGATCCAATAAACCCATACTGCAGGCGCCGGCTTTGCAACAAAGGATACCACAGCATCCATTAGGGTCACTGACAATGCCTCAACGCTTCAGGCTGAAACGGTTGCGATCATGAAGCATACACACGCGTCCCACGCACGGACAGCGTTGTCATTCACCAGAGATTTCAAAGCAACTATTGACAGTTTACAGCATAGCATGACCCCCAGATAACATCTACCTCTTGACAACAGTACTATACATAGCCAAAGAATCCTTAGTCAATAGGTAAGAGAATCATCATAAAAACTGGTCCCAAGCCACAATAGGCGCATACTAAGCGCGGAACGCAGACTTGCTGATAAACTAGCCGAAAAGGCTCAGGGGTATCCCCCATCCATCCATGATCGTTAAAACCCAGCCAAGGGGACTACGACCAACGGTACCAAAGACGTTTCAGCGG